CAGCCGCCCGTCTTCTCCTCTGCGGCGCAGTTTTTTTGCGCACCCGGAAGCCAATGGCCAGGGAAGGTCGTCCCGCGAGCGTGAGTATCCGTTTATCTAATTTAAAATCTCGCTGCGAAATCCTCTGTTCACCGTACCCAGGGTCTGAGGGTGTCTACAGACCTCAAAATACCTGCATCGCTTTCTCCGTCCCAAGTAAATTCAGATGTCGCCGTAAAGCCTGGGGTTGCCTCTCTGTGGCTTTAAAATCGCTCTGAGGCCGGTCCTGTCCCCAGTCGTAATGCCCTCGGGCCATGTAGACACCTCCTTTCCAGACGGTTTTTGTTTTATTTTTTCTTTTTCTTAAAAAAACATCAGTGTTGCGTCAGCCTCATTGACAAGAATTATATCCAAACCGCTGGCGAAATAACTCTCCGCCCGGCCAGTGTTTGTAAAGCCGTCCCTCACCTGCGAGGTGGCCTGACGCCCAACTCTCCCTTCGTGGCCCCCTGGAGAGAAGCGCTGACAGCCCCGGTCCAGCAGAGGCCGCGTCCTCTCCTGGTCCTGGGATCTGCAGGCCCCACTCCTCTCCTAAGGGACCGTCGCCCGACCACGTCCCCCTCCTCAGGCCTTCCCATCCTACTAGCGCTTCACCTGATCCCACGCTGGGGGAGGTAACGGGCCTGGCTTGCGACACCCACCCACCCTTCTTCTGTCCTAAATTCCACCGCACTGGAAAATGTGTTCTTCCGGGAGGCGAGCTTCTTATTCAGTCTCCCTCCGTGTGAATGTGTGAGAGAGATCGATTGAACGGAAACAGAAAAACCGAAAGACTAAAGAAGAATGAAGGAAACACCCACTGGAAAAGTAGAGTGTGGGTGAGGGGTTTGCAAAGAGACAGAATGAAAGAGAAGCAAGAAAGGAGCAGGGGAGAAAAACAAATACAGTCGTCCCTCGGTATCCGCAGCTGAGGATTGTTTCCAGGACCCCCTCAGATACCGAAAGCGAGGATGTTCAAGTCCCTCCTATAAAATGGTATAGTATTTGCATGTAACCTATGCACATCCTCCTGTATACTTTAAATCATCCCTAGGTTACTTATAATACCTAATACAGCTTAAATGCTGTGTAAATAGCTATTACACTGTATTTTTTTTTTCTTTGAATATTTTCAGTCTTTGGTTAGTTGAATCAGTGGATGCGGAACCCGAGGAGAGGGAGGGCTGACGGTAGAAAAAATTATGCAAGAGGGGGATTTCTAGAGATATGAAGGAAAGCAAAATAAGGAGGGGGCCCTTGATGAGCAGTAGGAGCAGGGGCAAAGAAGGGGGAGGGGCAGCAGCAGAGAGTGGGGGGAGAGGATGGAAGACTCGGAGTCATGGCAGACAGAGCAACGCGATGCTGGGATGAAAAGAGGAGACAACGGTGAGGAGAGCAGAGGGAGAAATAGAGGAGGGAGGAAGCGTTAGGTAGCTGGGGGTGCCAGAGAGTGGGGACCAGGGGGTGTAACAGGGAGGGTAGAGGGGGAGCAAAGATGAGGGAAGAAAGAGGCACAAATACATGGAGATGGGCACAATCAAAAGGTTGGGGAGAAGGAGCAACATGAGGTGAAACAAGTTGCAAGAATGGGTCAGAACATGTGTGGGAGAAGGATAGAGGAAAGAAGGGGAGAAAGAGCAGAAGAGGAGAGAGGAATCAAAATAAGGAGCAGAAACTTGGGGGAAACCCAGAAAAGAAGAGAAGGAAAGAGCTAGAGAGAGATGGTGAGAATGACAGACATGTGCAGAATGAAGGAGGGAAACACAGTGATGAAGAAAGACAGAGACCTTAGGTCCAGGTGAGTGGCGAGTTGATTGAATATTATGACTAAGTTGTGATATATTGATTTCTGTCTTTCTAATCTAACAAATGTAAAGTTTGTTTAAATTATAGAGATGAGAATGAGCATTGCAAAAGTAATGTCTATAAGGCATGTGCATTTTGTAATTCTTGGTATAAGAGGATAGCTCCTATTTGCAACGCCTGTTCAGCCAGAGTGCAGTGACTTGACCCATTGAGTTGTGAATCACCCTCTTCCTTTTTCCTGGGATGGTGTCGGGCTGGAATCACAAATCCCTCTGCCCCATCCTGTGCAGGTCGCAAGTCAGGTAATTGGAAAAAGATTCCTGCAGCCTTAGGCACAATGGACATGCTTTATTTCAGATGCAGGCTCTGCCGGCCTGTTACTCTACTGCTCTGCCTCCTCTGCCAGCTTTGCTGGCCTGCATTTCAGATGCAAGCTCTGCCAGCAATGCCCTGGAGGTTCAGAGCTGTTGTCTTTTATATCCAAAGTACACATAATCGTGGCAACAAGGCAAAGATTACATAAGTGTACATGTGCAGTTACACCACTCTTATATAACTAGTTCACAGCACGTGTGCTAAAATGTGCTGGATCATGTCCTGCCTGATATGAGGTGAGGGAGCCTGACTACACTGTTTCTGTTTTCCTTACAGATGGGGTAGGGTGTGGGGGAGTGAAGTAGGGCAGGAAGTAACTGACTTTGTCACTACCTGGGTGCCTTTTGAAAGGTACATTAAGAGTGATGTTTTTCTGTAATGGATTTTCTTTTTTAAATTCCTTAAAATTAATTCTTTTTGAAACTTGACATTAGTCTTAAGTTTATTGAGTTTCTTCTCTATTAATCACTGTTAACTTCAGAAATAACTTTTGGTTGCATCCTTGAATTATGACATATCATTCTGTTTTAAATATGATATATTCTGGAGGTTTTTTTTTTTTTTACTTTAACCCCAAAATTCGTTAGATTTTTTTTTTCTTTCTAAATTGTTTTAACTCTTAATTGTGTGTGGTTCCAATTAAGGCCTGTATTATTTGTACTTTTTAACCATATATTGGAAACATTCTTTGGTACTTAGTAAGTAATTTAAAAGTAATAATACTAATTTTAGACTGTTTCAATATGTACTTGATAACGACGTCAATGATCTTCTGTTTTAACCGTCAAAACCTAGTTTAATCAGTCTGTCTAATACTGTTTCCTTCTCTTTTATGTAACCTGTTAAGATAGTGAGATGTGAGCTACTATGTAGATGTTTCCTTCAAGTTTCTCTTGTCCATTCTCTCTGAATATTGAGAATGGGCTGGATTGACTTGGAACTTTGTTCCAACAGAGCCCATATATTCATAATGAGGAATAAGCCTAGAGCTTATTTCTATAGGTGACCCTCTTTCAATGTTTTCAATGCCAATAGCTATGTGTTCACAGTTCTATATTTTAAACAATTTTACTGTAATTTTCTAGAAAAAAGGAATTAAATGTTGAAGATCAATGTGATGAAAACCTTGAAAGAGAAATGTCTTCTTCCCAGGCATGTGAAAGATAGTCCTGGAATTATTAAGAGGGACAGGTGATACAGATAAACCATGCCCTTTCGCCCTTCCAGGCCACCATATCAGAATTCAGTTATGCCATGTTCTTCTCACTCAACATAGACCTTTTCAGGATTACTTGTTGAACTGTCTTCACCCTCTGGGCCTCAGTGAGCCCACCTGTAACACGGAGATGAAGAACTAGACCAGAAACTCTGAATCTGAACAACACTGACACCTAACAAGATTGGCCGAATTGGGTGTGTGTCTGTGTGTGGCTTTTCTCCTGGAAGGGGGAGTGCCCAGTTGTAATTGGAAATTTAAATAGGTCTCCGTTCTCAAAAAATGAAAAACAAAACCCACAAGTCTAGGAGCAGGATCATAGGCTCAAAGACAGAGAAGCCATCTACAGAGGTCTTTCTCTGCTTTAGAGTTATTGGGAATCGTCACGGAAGACCAAGGTGCTAGGGCAGGTGATGAGGACAGGTCTTGAATTTCTTCTGGAAATTGTAACTCTAATTGATGTAACTTTAAGCCTCCTGTGGCTAATTATTTTACTCAAAATAACAGTAAAAGGATGTACTGATACCCACAAAGCTCTACAGACTCTTGTCCTCATGCAGTGTGCTAGGGTGTCCCCATCGGTGTCCATGCTTTACTCCAGCTCCCGGGTCTTCCAGGCTCTGCACATCACCAGGAACCAGTTGCCATCATGGGCAGGGCCTTTGCCTTCTACCAGGTTATCACAGTCAGGAATCCGGGTTCCCCTTCAGATAGGGTCAGGAGCACAAGAGGGCATGATGGACACCCCCTAAAGAACTAGGGAATCTTGCAATTTGCTGTGAGTGATGAGACAAGGGAACAATGGTTGCCTCCCCCATGAGACCAGGGACCTCTCTCTATGATTGCTTCACTAAGCTCAAATCTTGCTTACTCTCCAACTGCCTTCAAAATTGGTCTTTCTGTTGTCCCCAGTTGCCAGCAAGTTAACTCAGTAGGGCCAATTTCTTGTTCTCCATACTGTAGAGTCAGTGCCCTTCCATTTGCAGTTCATGTCCATTCCTGCTGTGGTGCATGCCCAAGGAACTCTGTGCTTTTTATTTTTTTTATTATTCTGGTAAGAACACGTAACATTGTCCTCTTAAAATATTTTAAGTGTCTAATACATTATTGACTGTAGGTACAGTGTTGTACAACAGATCTCTAGAGCTTATTCCTTTGCTTTTTATCCCAGTTTGCTTGTACATGCATGTATGAGAAGTGGAAAAGGGGGGAAAGTGGAGGGGGGGGGCCCTTAGAGGTCTCCAGGAGGGGCATGGAAGCAAGGGTGGGCCTCAAGATTCACATTCACAGCCCAGTGAATGATGTGTGCACCTGTCCCTAGTGTGGTTGTGGGACCAAGTGCTGTGTGGAAGTCTTGGAAAGTCTCAGGTCTGGCTGGAGCACCTGGAAGTGGGTTTATGGGTGGTTGTGGGGCTGCATAGATCATTCTGGAATGCCATAGTGTCTTAGCTCAGGTTCCCTAAGACACAGATGCTGAAGCTGAGGTTTGCATGCAGGGATTTAATTGGGAAACTCATGATCAGTTCTGAGTAATGAAGTCAGTAGAATAACTAGAGAAAAGTTACACAGGAATGTCATTAGAACATGGCCTAAGCTGAGCCAACAGAGAGCTTGGGCAGCAGGAGGATGGACACATTGGTTCCGAGGGGGTGGATCCCAGGGGTGCACTGCAGCATCCACTTCAAACAGAAATTTCTGTGGCATCTTTTGGGAGTGCAAAAATCATCATGCAACCCATGGGGAAACTCAGAGATCATTTTGGGGGTTACCTTTGTTATTTGCAGGTATTTAGGATCACAAATCAGGAAGGTTTCAGTTGCATTTTGGAAGATCCAAATGAAATTTTGGAGTGTTTCCTTGGAAGATGTTGGAGTCTCATTGGAGTACATGCATCACTGGAGACATCTCTTTTTAAATACTAGATTTTGGTAGTACTCCTGTTTAGGATGAAGTTATTATTAGTGAAAATATGGTGCCTTGGTCAGTGTGTTTTTGGGTGTCCTTATGTGTAGTATTCCGTCATATGTGCGTGAGTTACTGATGTTTGTAATGCCTTTTTTGATTTCATAGCAGTATGGAGGAATCATTATGGGGTGTCTATGGAGTGTGTTAGACCCCATTAAAGTTTGTAAGAGGATCTGAGTACAGAAGAGAAAGAGTAACGGGGCTGGCCCGGTGGCGCACTGGAGAGTGCGCCGCTTGGGAGCGCGGCGGCACTCCCGCCGAGGATTCGGATCCCACATACAGACCGGCTGCTCACTGGCTGAGCGAGGTGCGGGTGCAACACTGAGGGCTGCGATCCCGTTGCCGGTCCCGGTCCGGTACGGGCACGACACTGAGGGTTGTGATCCGTTGCCGGACACGAAAAAAGACAAAAAAAACGAAAAAAAAAAAAAAAAAAAGAAGAGAAAGAGTAAGGCCTAAGGCTCAGGTGGTAGATTATTTACATTAGGGAGGGCTTGCTGGTCCATGGGCACAATTTGACATGCTGTAAGGGCACGTGACCTTGGGAAAGATTGTTCCAAGAATCAGAGGGCAGACACCATCACAGTGACTTGCAGTAAAAAGGCTCATCCTTGCAACTGTTTTGGGAAAGATG